TCATTTTGGTTCTACGATTGCTCAGTAATTCTGCCAAATATAGTAAGACTGCAAGTCACCATCTTCTGTAAACTCCTGGCACACACAATGAAGATGCCCAGCTACACAGAGTGTCCTTGTCTTGACACGCCTCTCGAAAAGCATCAAAATCAGACTTGCCCAGAGAGAGGTGACCCCAGAATAAAGCTGTAAGTAACTTAAATCTGCATTAAGGTCAGTAACTGCTGGATACATTCATGGTCCTGTATCTATCCATCAGACTGCCATTTAAATGCTGTTTCTAAATAGTTATTGCTGTTCATTTGCAACACTAAAACTTACTATAATTTTATGTATCTACAGCTCCTACCCATGTTTCCCACAGTAGCAATTAGAATATTCAGACTCCTGCACAGGACACCTCCCGTGATTTCTCCTTATTGAGGGACCACTCTAGTAGTTTACCTGGAAAGAGAGTATGTGGGCCAGGTGGCATATCAAAATCATAGAACACCACAGAAGTAAGGGCTTCAAAGGATGTCAAGAACTCAGCTTTCAGCTCAACAGTATCTTAAGATTACATTAGCTAAGTAGGCCAGTTTCAGTTTACATCCATAGCACCATTATACCATCTTCCAAGTTGTACCACATTTTTGATGACATCTTTTGTACTTACCCAGTACAAGAGAGACATGGAGCTACTGGAGAGAGTCCAGCAAAGGGCCATGAAAATGTTTAAAGGACTGGGTCATCTCTCACAGGAGGAAAAGCTGAGAGATCTGTGACTGTTTGGCCTGGAGAAGAGAAGGCTCAGGGGGATCTTATAGATGTATATAAATACCTGAAGGCAAGGTGCAAAGAAGACCGAGTCAGGCTTTCCTCAGTGCTGCTCAGTGACAGGACGAGAGGCAGTGGGCGCAAAGTGAAACAGAAGGTTCCCTCTGAACATCAGGAAACACTTTTTCACCGTGAGAGTGTCCAAGCACTGGCACAAGTTGCCCTGAGAGGTTGTGGAATCTCCCACCTTGGAGATATTCAAAAGCTGTCTGGACACAATCCTGGGCAACCATCTTTAGGTGGGCCTGCTTAAGTGGAGAGATTGGACCAGATGACCTCCAGAGGTCTCTTCCAACCTCAACCGTTCTGCCAGTCTATGAACTAACATAGGGATATCCCTCATTATCCCTAATGATCTGAAAAGTTCAGAAAAGAAATCATAACCTCAAAAAAAGTCTTTACAACATCTTTACAGTAAGGTAGGACCTCATCCCGCTCCTCCTCCTTCTCAAAGAAGCTGAAAACCATAGAAAATTATTAATGCTTTGTACTCACTGAGCCCAGTGTCCATCAAAAATAAAATACAATGAAATATTCATTTGACTTGCTTCCAAGAACGCAATTAGATGAAACAAATATGTTGCATAAAGTCTTTTAATGGCAGGATGACTAAGAGATCAAGAACATTTATTGATCTACAGTCTTGGACCCAAACAGCTCAAATCACATCAACTACCTGAAGCTTTTAAATTAACTCTATCTTCTGCCCAGGCCTCAGGGCCACTCAGCCTCTTTCAAAGTACCTTTGTGGGATCTTACTAAGCATGAATTAACTAGTTAGCAAAAGACTTTTCTGAGTCTCAGGTAAATCTGCCACTTTATCCAAGAGTTGCTTCTACTGCCTGGTGACCAAAAGAGAGGACGCTCACGGGAGGACACATCCTGGAACTTTATGGCCCAACTGAAAAACTTCAAGCCTAAAAAGCTGAGCTAGTGTCAGAAAATCCTCTTGCCTCAGTGAAATGTTACCACTGGAGCCTACAGCATCATGCCCATAACACCACAGGCAGAAGACCGTCACTTCACAAAGCCCTACTGGACTTCTGTTTCTGAACCTCAACAAACTAGTCATTAACAACAAATACCTTGCTTTTCACTAAGCTTTTTAGGGTTACAATGCCTGTGTAAGTATTGAATTTACTGTTCTATTTACCTCTTCTCTCTCTGTTCTACGGAAATTAAATTAAACTAATATAGAAAAGTGATCATAGGGTAAGCCACAACAGACACCATATATCAGCAGCTACTACCTAAATATACACCATGCTATAAATTCAAGGTAACTTGAGCTAGTTTAATCTTTAATGAAAGGGGAATAGTCTGACTGGCTTTACTGAAGGGTACAAACATGGAACAGGAACAGTTATCTTGCAAAAGGTGCCAGACTAAGTTCACACCCTTGTTTACTCACCAGTTAACACCTCTGGGTTTTCATACCCTAAAGCAAAATTTAAGATGCACACACTGGAGTAGACATTTGGTTGTACACTCACTTTCAGTCAGTAGCTAGTCTTTAGATAAAACAGCTCAGAATAGCTTAGACCTCAAGTTAAAAGACAAAATACATAAATTATGCAGGACAATCAGAAAAAGTAGTCAGAAAAAGAGCAGTACCATTAAAAAAAAAAAAACCCAAAGTCTCTCCTGACTAGGGTAGGAAACTCTATCACTTTTTTTAAACATTTCAGTTCTTCAACACACAATCACTTCATGATATCTTCTCTGTTGTGTGTGCCCTCTCTCTGCTGCCCCAGAGTTCTTGGAAGTATCATTTTGAGTTACACACATACACCATAAAAAGGAGCTTAGACCATACCTAACCGAAGTGATAAAGAAATATTAAAAGGCTGAGCTACAAAACTTCCCCATTGGACAAGAGTACTTGCCATAAGCCCAAGCAGGGCAAAAGGCAACAGCTGTGGGGAAAGGGAATGAGCAAATGCAGCTCAGTTATCTTGAAGAGGAGATGCTCCTGGGATGCGAGGAACCCAGCACATGCTCCTTCCCCCCTGCAAACCTGGACAGTGGTTAGGACACTTCTCCCCAGCTCATTTGCGTTGCCCTTCTCAAGCTTTTGGGCAGATGGGAGACAGCCCTACACCAGAGGACACAAGGCAACAAAAGAAATCCTGCAATACCACCAGCATTCAAAGGCCTTTGCTTGCCCGCTCTATGCATGTCAAGCTCCCCACCTCCCTGGGCAACAGCAACTGACTGCTAGGGTTGACAAAAGATTTTAATCTTATTAGTTAATAACAATCCCATACAAGACATTGTCATGCTAGACACCACAGATTTTTAGAAATGCTTGCCATTTGTTTCAATCTCAGTGTAAACGGAGAGTGTTGTGGGTTCTTTTTAAGCTTCATTTTCTACAGAAACTAAGCCACACATCCAGACTGTCTCGCCTTTCCCTTCACCCCAGACCCAAAGGAGTCCCGGTAGAGAACAACTGCATCTTACTGTCAGAGCAGTAAAATTCAGCAGTCTATAGACAAACTGAGCACCATTTAACAAGGAGACAGTAATCTCATAAGGCTTTCAGATTTCTTACTGCAGGAAGAAAAGTAAGGTGAAGCTCACAGAAGAGGGCTACTCTGCTTGCAAAAACTTTTACACCTCAGAAAACCCAACCGCATGCAAGACACTTCATGAATGCCCAAATACTGGATAGACTTCACTTGGAGCTTCCCTTTCCTCAGGCTACCAAGTCATTAGCCATAAAACGCAAATTCACATGGTTCCTCACAGTGTTCGTGGAAGTAAATTGTTAAAAAATAATTCAAATATAGATTACTGGCTGAAAGAGCCTGTGTTTATTCTTTTTCATTTGTAGTATTTTCAAAGTGTGAAATAGCCTCTTATTCAGTCTTCATCTCCCTATTGCAGCGATGTCAGATTCTTTATTACTTTTTTATTATTATGTTTAATACACTTCTAGTAGTGAAACAGATTCCCCTTTCTAATTAGGTCTATCAATGAATAACTGAAATTGATGAAACTGATGATGATACATGTCATCAATATCATATCATGATGATACAATTCAGCTATATAAATAACCAAAGCTGAAAGAGTTAAGTGTTTCCATAAATTAGCGTTGACATCAACAGTGGATTATTGTGAACTTTACAGCTAAACTGAGTTAAAAAAAGAAAAACAATTAAAATTTTTCTCATTTATTTGGCTACTCCCCACACTCAAGAAACCAGTCCCTCAAACAGCTGACCCTTCTTGTCACTGAAGTTGGGACTTATTAAGCAATCAACTAACCTTAGAGGATTTTCTTCGGCTTCTTCTTGTCCAAACCACCACTAGTTTATCTGGCTGCCTGTGAAGATAAGGAAGAAGCAGCTTAATTTACAACAAGATTAATATATAAACAGTTTATATTAAAACTCTTGCAATACATAAGGTCAACCTTAGTGGCTACATTATCTCTTAAAAATAGCTCATCTAAAAACCACTCTCAGCATCAGTCATTTCACAGGAAAATATAATGCTATATTTTTAGAAAAAAGCTGTCTTCCAATCTAACGTCAACTTTCCAGACTAATGTCATCCTTCTCCTCCTGCTCTCCTTGGCGGTGGGCATTTCCCCAGAGCCAGTAGCACATCCGAGCAGAAACTCTTCCATGGGGCAGAGAACAGAATCCAGCCTCTTTAAAGACACCTTGGAAACAATCCAGTACCCAAAATAAATATCAATGCAAACTTTAGTTAGAATTTCAAAGCAGACGTATTGAAAAGGTACTGCTAAGTAGCAAAGAAAACAGGCAATCTCACTTTTTCACCCCCAAAAGAGGGTTTTTTTTTCCTATTTGAATATCTCAAACTAGAAGAGAATCGAGTCCTGTATTACTCCTCAAAATCTCCTTGGATGACCACAGACAGGTAAGCCATCGCTTCCTCAACTTTCACTCAGAAGGACAAGCATGCCGAAATTCAGCATGACTCTTCAAGCAATTGTTTATTTGGTGTTTCTAATGAATATGCATAGAAACTTAAATAAAGGCTACCTCCAGTACAAATTATTGGCTCTTTAAATTTCTTAAGATTTATTTCTTGATTAACAGTTACAGCCCTATTACTTCTACCTTATTAATTTTACAATTGTCTTTGAGTGATTTTTTTTTTTTAATTGATCTAACTTCCAGGCGCGCTTTTTTTTTTTTTGGCCCATGATACACTTCTCATTGTATGACCACACTTCTGGTCCCATTTCCAGACCCATGACCCTTCTTCCGAAGACTCCTGACCCTCCATTCCAGCTTTGTTTCCTGGCTGATGACCCAACTCCCACCCGCAAGCCTGACTGCAAAGCCACCCGCAAACAATTTTCAGTGCAGTTCACATTTCCATTTAAAAGTGCTAAAACTGTGACTCCACCTGGAAAATAAAATTGCTACTCAAGAGTTTTGAGACACCAGTGTAAGAATCCTTGCATTTCTAAAGCCAATAGCAAAACCTGTTTCATGTTAAAAAAAAAAAAAAAAATTCGGGGGGGGGGGGGGGGGGGGGGGGGGTTGCCAAAACGGCTGGGGGGGGGGGGGAGGGGTGGTGGATGTTACCAAGAAAAAGTCAAGATACAATACACTCAAAGCATTCATTAAAACATGTGCCCAAAATGATCCACACAAGTATTCTGAAAAAAAAAGCAGTGTTCACACTGCTTTCCTAGTACTTCATCACAGGGAGACTGTATCTACTTCATAACTAACTTTTCAAATTAAAACCCAACGGGTTTAATAGTCCAAGAGCTCTTTTTAAGCATTGAAGTGCTGGCTACTATATTATATACCTTCCCTTGAAGCCGTTCATCATTTCTGCAGGCTGCAGTAAAACTACTACATCACCTATGATTCACATTTAAACCCCACCAGAACTAAAGTTCCCCTGAAAAAAAAAGAGTTAAAAGGCAAATCCTGTGAAGGAAATGAGGACACCGGCTTTTATTTGCTATTCTGTATTGCGCCTTACTCCTTTAATATATCCCTTAATTTTCAGGTTGGAATAAATTGAAAGAGAAATAATCTACTGCATTTTAAATTGTGCAAATTCACTTTTACGGCTTCTTTAGGTGACCTAAACCATGGCTTGGCTCTGCTTGCAGCTTCTCCTGCAAAATCTTGCTTGTACTTAGCTTAATCCTGTTGTACTTAGAAAGCTCTTTGCTCACTTGGTATTGGGTGCGTTAGGTTCTCAATTGGCACAACACCCCCATTACCTTTGATGGGAGCTGTGTTTGTGCCACCAGGGAAAAAAAAAAAAAAAAAACAAACACCACACACACACACACACAAGCGATTTCCTTGAAGCAAAGCAGTCCAAACCCACACCTACAATCAACAATTTCTTCTGGAGTTATTTCACTTTGCACTTTAAAGCTGACTTATTCTCATTTCAGAAACTAGCTCATGAAATTTAATTAATAATTTAATTTAACTGTGACTCATTCAATCCTGATCTTGCCTCTGAGCACAAAAAAATGCCAAAATTGCAGGGCGGGGGGCGGGGCTGGGGAAGAAACCCTCCTCCTAAAAGAAAAAAAAAAAAGGAAAAAGAATATGTATTTCCGCAGTGCTGGCAGCTACACTGAAGACAACCCCCCTCCAAGAGTGGGACTGCATCCCAGGAGTCACACAAATAGCAGCTTCAGTAGGAAGAGGCAGGACAATGCCTGCAGAGGTTAACGGGAAGAGCACAGGTCCATGCTGCCACCAGCTCTCCACCTCTTCTCCCTCTCACCTAAAGGGACCCAGTGCTTGGCAGCATGTCCCCTCCCTGTTTCTTCTCTCCAGGGCAGCCAGCCACTATACTTGTGGTGGCCTTGGTCTGCTCAGGTGTACAGGAATACCTGCTATCAGAAACACGTAAGAGACAGAAAGACGTTCTTCATGGTATACTTAGTAGATCGTGAAAACATCCAATGCATGGATTTCAACAGTAAATTTCCACAAGTTTTCATCAGAAGAGCACTTGGCTGTCCAGAGATCCTGTGAGGGAGGCTAAGAAGGATCCTACCCAGGTCCCTTTCTATCCTGCAGCTCCAGCTCAGGTAACAGTGATGCCGCTTTGTCCTTCTAGTTCTGTTTTGATCTTGTCATCTTTATCTTGGCATCAAAAGTGATTTTTTTCTTGCGATGGCACTGGATCATCTCCCCGGAGGCAACATGCCACAAGCTGGAAAAGTGAAGCAGCACATCCAGCTCCACATGGTGCCAATATCTAAACCAGGAGGCCAGCCTGGACGGAGATGGCCCAAGAACAGTTATACACGTCTGCAAACAAATGGGCCAAGAGAAGGAAGACAGCAAAGGATAGTAAGGAAACAGGAGGAGTGTCAGTGTCAGCGCCAAAGAGAGTCAATTCAAAGTAGGAATGAATCCACATCTCCATTCCTGCAACACAGATACTTTTTCATTACAGGGTACTCTAGAAGAGACCGAGCCATGGCTATGCCAAGTGCCTCAAAAAAACCAAAAGAGTGAAGAAGAGGCTATATGTAGATACAACACAGTTATTCTGAAAAACTAAGTAGCATAAAACAATTGTCAAGGGTTGACAAGCCTTGATACAGAAATCCTTCCAAGACTGGACAGAAAAAAAAAACCCCAAAAAACCCCACAGAGAGAGGCAGTAAGACAGGCAGTCATACTGGTATGACATGTCCCAGGTTGGTAACTGACCGTACGTTTAATTCTAATTCTTTCATTTCATTTTAAAACATGCCGTTGCTTGCTTGGCTTTTACACAGGTTGTCAGAGACAGCTGGTGCTTCAATGCAGTTCTCCAGCAGGAGCTCCATCTGCATCACATACACACACAGTTATCACCAAGCCTGGATTTATTTCCCAATTTTGAAAAACTCCCTCTGCAAGAAACATAAAGAAATACACTAACATGAAAACGCCAGCTAGAGTCGCAAATCAAACTGAGAAGACCAAGCCACACCATGGAAGAGCATGACCAGCACTTGCTTCCTCTAGGCTCTTTCACCAGCATATTTATTTAAGTATTGAGTATACTTCGCTCCTTCAGTGTCAAGTACGAAAGAAATCCACCTCCAGAGGTACTTTGCTCAAACAAAACGAGGAAGGTCATCACCATATGGAGACAGAACATTTAGCGAAATGGAATGGGAAGAGAAGGGAAAAAAAAATCCCGAAGGATGAATTTTCCCACTAAGCATACTATATGCTTAACTGAAATAGAACACAAAGAGCAGCACTTTTTTTAAGGGATTTTCTTCAAGACAGTCACAAATCCAACAGTTTAAAAATATCTCCTTAGAACTGTTTCACAAACGAAGCCAAGAGCAAGCTTCTCTTCTACAATCTGTTCATTGCTCTTTTATGCCAACATAGTTCTAGAAGAAAAAGCCCAACCCATATTTTAATCAGCAAATTTGCATTCAAGGTTATTAGTGATGTCTCAGTGCTAGGAAATGGCCAAAACCACCTAATGCACTTTGCTCATTTTAAAACATGTAAGTAATATTGCCTACTTCAGACTTCTCCCTCCTTCAACATCATAAACCTCGGCTGCTTATTAACCAATGATAAAAGCAAATTAAATCCCTTCTGAAGAATTAGGCTGAAGACCAGTTTTAGTATCCTTTATAAGTTTACGAAGTAAACTCAGAGATCACTCCAAATACAAAATCCACAATAGTGCAAGCTGAACAAATACTAATGGTCAGCAATTAAAAAAAAAAAAAAAATTCCCTGTGCTGCACAAACAACGTTTCTAATTCTTTTGAACCCACCAGCTTTTAGGTAGTCACTTACTGAGCTCCAGCAAAGCCAGTATGTTTAAGGCAAGGAATAACACACCGCTAACCCTAAGAGGATGGTATTGGGGTGGGGGAAAGAACTGGGTTTTAGCTGAACTGCTACACCTCCACACTAAGTAATTGCTTCAATCTATACAATTCAACACCACCAATCTTTCAGTGGGAGTTTTTAATATTGTACTGGAATGTGACATGACTGGCTTGGTGCTTTGCATTTCACCCCACGCCGATCTGCAGCGTTGCCAAAGCAGCAGCAGCAGCCCCTGGAACGGGGAGGCGAAGGAAGCCATCAGCACTGGGGCATCAGACACTACCACCGTGAAAGGCAGGGACCCAGCAGCAGGTACTGAAGGATTCAGCTTGGATCCAAAGTATCATACTTTATAAAGCCTACCATAAACTTCTGTTTGCTATTTACTCATTTTTGTGAGGTTCGTAAGAAACCATTCCTGAAGAAAGGCAATTTATAGTAGTAAGCTTATTTTATTATTTACAAGTGAAACTTAGTCAGCAAAGAAGCAGGGAAGATTATGATTTCAAAGTCTGTGGCTCAGAAAAAGAGATTCTTCACTGCCCTGCATACTAACTGAAATGAGATTTAAAATACATGATTAATAAAACATCTATAATTAAAAACCATGCCTGCTTTTCCTGTCAGATGGAAGCCATGATTCTGGTATGGCCAATTCTCCCACTGAAACAACTGATTCTAAAAAAAAGTAAGATAAAATACTAGACATTGCCATATCCAAAATTATTAAATAAAGTAAAAAAACATTCCACTAACTGGAAAAAACTATGTCATCTCATCATCACCTTACATGCTGCAAATTTTACCAGTTGAAAAGGAGGTTGTGCAAGATTCGAGGTCTTCTGGGGTTTGCGTTGATCATTCCAGGAAATATTTGGCACAATATTTTGATTACGGAACTCTCCAAATATTATTTGTGAAAGAAGGACATAAAAGGTATCAGTCTCTTGTTTTGTAAACCTTTTAGCAGAAGTAGATAACATCAACCAGGACATATTTCTCCACCAAATTCACTGCTTGATAACAGAAAACTGCAAAAGACTTAGACTTAGAATCTGTTGTTGGAAAGAATTGCAA